CCACTTGAGTAAATGGAAGTGGAGTTCCTTGATACTTGAGTTGTCAAGTCGTGCTTCATGATAGAATCTGTGTGCAGTACAGGATGTGGTAGCCACTTGAGTAAATGGAAGTGGAGTTCCTTGATACTTGAGCTGTCAAGTCGTGTTTCATGATAGAATCTGTGTGCAGTACAGTATGTGGTAGCTACTTGAGTAAATAGAAGTGGAGTTCCTCGCTACTTGAGTTGTCAAGTTATGTTTCATGGTAGAATCTGTGTGCAGTACAGTATGTGGTAGCCACTTGAGTAAATGGAAGTGGAGTTCCTTGCTACTTGAGTTGTCAAGTTGTGTTTCATGATAGGATCTTTGTGCCGTACAGTATGGGGTAGCCACTTGAGTAGTTTACAGTTAGGACGGTTGGTTGATTACAAAATCAATAACATCAAGAACACTGTGCTCCTTGTTTTCCAAGTATCAAACCATAGGTCTGATGTTTTTCAATAATTGCTTGATATTTTTAGCTGACTATACGAACTCACCAGATAAGAAGGCGGATTAAAATGATTGGCAAAGTTTCAGATCAATTAAGTTGTTAATTATTACTGGGAACACTGACAAAAAAGTTGCAAGGACTTCGTAACACCTACTTTGTAATTAAAGTGTTGTTGGAAATGTTCTTCTACGTTTCACTGTGTAAAATCATGTATGATGATATATATATATATATATATACCAGTTTTTCTGAAGAACGGTAAGATGTTTTTACATTAATACAGCACGAGGAATTAATATAGATTATGTAAATCGGGCAAAAACAAATGTACCATTGGGCTAGATTGTTTATATGAGTGAGTTTTTGTGTTTATCTAATGTTCTTTATTCCAGCGTGTTTCTTCTAATTTGTTGTTTCACGTAGTTTTTGTTTTTGTAAAGGGTTTATATTATGTGATGTTTGATTTGTGTTTACGGAATAAATTTGAGTTTGTATTTTGTTTCACGTCAAGGGATATATATTTACTTGCGAGTGAGTTTTATTATTGGAACTTATTTTGTATTTGTATATAATGTTGGACAAGTAAGTTACACTGTTAGCTCAGCGGGAAGACTGAGTGAGGGCTGCAATACCTGTGGTGGGCAAAGCACAGATAGCCCATCGTGTATCTTTGGGCTTAACAACAAATATAAACTTCTCATGCTTCCAGATTTTCCTACGAAATTAAGTGAGTATATGAACCACTGTTTCAACATATTTAGAAAACACTAGCAGTTAATATTGTTTTGTATTATAGTTGATACAATCGTTACTAGATGTCGTCAGGTACAATGTAAGTATCAGTGAATCGTAATTTAATATTGTTTTGTATTATAGTTGATACAATCGTTACTAGATGTCGTCAGGTACAATGTAAGTATCAGTGAATCGTAATTTAATATTGTTTTGTATTATAGTTGATACAATCGTTACTAGATGTCGTCAGGTACAATGTAAGTATCAGTGAATCGTAATTTAATATTGTTTTGTATTATAGTTGATACAATCGTTACTAGATGTCGTCAGGTACAA